TGGTTGCCTGTGTGATTTCTTGACAGTGAAGAAATCCTGCGGTTGGCATCAGGAAGTGACACTGTCAGGAGACAGAAGCTGGCGGTAAGGAAAAACGTTTGAACTTCCTCCGCAGACGCCATGCGTCTTTCTTCGTGGCAGGCCGTTTACTGGGAAAAAACAATTGAGGGTTTCATTCCTAATATTGGCCCTTGCGTCCAGCCGTCGCCAACTCTAGTAGTCCTCGATTTACGACCACGATTGTTGCGAAGACAGTTGTTAAGTGAGTTTTGACCTGTTTTGCCATCTTTCTTGCCACCGTTGTTAAGTGAATCCGCTGCAGCCGTCGAGTTAGTCGCGCCGTTGTTAAGTGAATCTGGCTCCCCCATTGACTTTGCTTGTCAGAAGGTCGTAAAAGGGGGACCGCGTGACCTTGAGATCCAGCAACCGCCCCCAAATATGAGTCAGTGGCCAAGCACCTGAATTTTGACCACATGACCATGGAGATGCTGCAACGGTCATTAAGTGAGGAAAAAAGTCACTTTTTCCAGGGCTGTTGTAACTTTGCATGATCACTAGACAAATGGTCGTAAGGCAAGGACTACCTCTACTGCTTCCTCTTCTGTTCTATATTAGGAGCCATGACCAAAATTTGCCCTCCCTCTCATATAGAAACTAAGGAATGGCAATAATTGACACGCACATCCAACAAATTGGTTGAAAACAAACAAACGGAAAATTAATAAATGAAATAAATGGGGGGGGAGTCCTTTACCAACTGACAGCCAGCAAATTTGGCCGAGTGGCTAAGGTGCTATCTTAGAAACTGAAAGAAGGCGAGTTAGAGTCCTGTCTTAGGCATGAAATCTGGCTGGGTGATTTTGGACCAATCACCAGGAGACGGTGAGTTCTAGTTCCGCCTTAGGCATGAAATATGGCTGGGTGATTTTGGGCCAAACACCAGGAGACGGTGAGTTCTAGTTCCGCCTTAGGCATGAAATCTGGCTGGGTGATTTTGGGCCAAACACCAGGAAACGGTGAGTTCTAGTTCCACCTTAGGCATGAAATCTGGCTGGGTGATTTTTGGGCCAAACACCAGGAGACGGTGAGTTCTAGTTCCGCCTTAGGCATGAAATACGGCTGGGTGATTTTGGGCCAATCACCAGGAGAGGGTGAGTTCTAGTTCCGCCTTAGGCATGAAATATGGCTGGGTGATTTTGGGCCAAACACCAGGAGACGGTGAGTTCTAGTTCCGCCTTAGGCATGAAATCTGGCTGGGTGATTTTGGGCCAAACACCAGGAGACGGTGAGTTCTAGTTCCGCCTTAGGCATGAAATATGGGTGGGTGATTTTGGGCCAAACACCAGGAGACGGTGAGTTCTAGTTCCGCCTTAGGCATGAAATATGGCTGGGTGATTTTGGGCCAAACACCAGGAGACGGTGAGTTCTAGTTCTGCCTTAGGCATGAAATCTGTTTGGGTGACTTTGGACCAATCACCAGGAGACAGTGAGTTCTAGTTCCGCCTTAGGCATGAAATATGGCTGGATGATTTTGGGCCAAACACCAGGAGACGATGAGTTCTAGTTCCAACTTAGACATGAAAGCCAACTGGGTGAGTTTGGAGAAGGAAGGAGGAGAAGGAGGGGAGGAGGTGAAGAGGGAGGATGAGGAAAGAGAAGGAGGAAAGGAGAAGAGAAGGAAGAATAAAAAGAGATAAAGAAGAGGAGGAGGAGGGATGTGGGGTTGTCATTCACTTAAATGGGTTTAAATAGATCCCATCTTTCCAAATTCATTTGGAGAATGGAATGGACTCTTTCTGATTCCGCTTGATTTGAGGGATCAGCCCAAATCCATAACATTGCTTGTCCCTAAATCAGGGCACCACTTTGGAGCCAAAATGTCAATCAGCCAGCAGGGCCAGCTCTGGTTACTGGTTGAAATGGGACTGGAAGGCTAAAACATACGATGAACGGTTGCAGGAACTGGACACGGCTTGTCTAGTGAAGAGAAGGACCAGTGGAGACAGGAGAGCATCTTCCAATATTATTTGAGGGGCTGCCACAGAGAGGAGGAAGGGGGTCAAGCTATTCTCCAAAGCACCTGAAGGCCAGACAAGGAACAATGGATGGAAACTGATCAAGGAGACATTCAACCTGGAAATAAGGAGGAATTTCCTGACAGTGAGAACAATCAACCCATGGAACAGACATTGCCTTCAGAAGTTGTGGGAGCTTCATCCCTGGAGGCTTTCAAGAAGAGATTGGACTGCCACCTGTCAGAAATGGTGTAGGGTCTCCTGCTTGGGCGTGGGGTTGGACTAGATGACCTACAAGGTCCCTTCCAATGCTTAAATCTGTAAAGCACCAGAAAAAGCTGGGACAGAAACGAGTGGGGTTTTTTTTTTGCTTTTTGTTTCTGCCAGGAAAGTGATGCAAATGACACCAGCAAGACGGCTGCTGCAGCTCCGATTCCTATTTTAGGCGCTGGATCCTGATCAGTTTTAAGTATAGGCACTTTGTCTGCTTGAAAAGTGCCATTTTGGGACCCAGACAGTTGTTCTCAAGTTTCACAGGGGATTTTAATTGCCCTAGATTTGGGTTTAAAAAAAAAAAAAAACCATTTATGCATAAAGGCATTTGGGCCAATCACGCAGGCTTTTTTTCTGCAGCCTGGAGAGAAATGATTTTTGGCTTTTTAAGACATCAGTGGGTGGCCCTTTCCTCCAAATTTAGAATGGGATTCCAGACCCTTCCCTTCCCCCCCACCCCCATTTGCTCCCTGAATTCCCCCATAAAATGAGAAACCAGAAGGCTGCAGGTGAGGATATTTTGCTGATAAGCCCACCCACTTGGGGTCTGCAAGGCTGTGTGTGGCTCAGGGGTGGCCCCTTTTGTGTTATCCTTGTCTCCCCCTCCCTCCCAATATTCTCTATTTATTTATTTATTTATTTAATCTGTCTGTCTGCCTAGCTATCATTTCTCCTGTGTTCTTCTGCTCTTTTTATTCTCATCCAGCCATTCTCTTTATCGTCTATCTGTTTGTCATCTCATCTATATCTATATTTCTAATCTAACTATAATCTATTATCTATCTCTTTATCATCTATCCATCCACCATACATACATCCATTATCTTATCTATATCATCTATCATCTATTAACTATCTATCATCTATCTTTAACTCTCTATCCCTATCATCCATCCATATCCATCTATCCATCCATCCACCATCTTATTATCTATATCATCTATCATCTATTAACTATCTATCATCTATCTTTAACTCTCTATCCCTATCATCCATCCCTATCCATCCACCATCTTATTATCTATATCATCTATAATCTATTAAACTATCTATCATCTATCTCTAACTCTCTATCCCTATCATCCATCCATATCCATCTATCCATCCCTCCACCATCTTATATCTATACTCTATTAACTATATATCATCTATCTCTAACTCTCTATCCCTATCATCCATCCCTATCCATCCACCATCTTATCTGTATCATCTATAATCTATTAACTATCTATCATCTATCTCTAATCTCTATCCCTATCATCCATCCATATCCATTTATCCATCCATCCATCCACCATCTTATTATCTATAATCTATTAACTATCTATCATCTCTAACTCTCTATCCCTATCATCCATCCCTATCCATCCATCCATCCATCCACCATCTTATTATCTATATCATCTATAATCTATTAACTATCATCTATCTCTAACTCTATCATATATACAGCGTATATATGCACGTCTATAATAACTGAAGAATGCAAACATTCCACACACAATCTTCCTCCTCCTATTTTCCCCAAAACAACAACCCTGTGAGGTGGGCTAGGCTGAGGATCCTAGAATCAGTCTTGAGATGGGCTCACAGTTGTCTCAAAGCGAGTCCTTTGATTTTCACTTCTTTGTGGCAATAGGAATCCATCCATCCTCCCTCAACGACAGCAATTTTTTAATGGAACTAGTAATTCGGGGGAGGTTTTCATTTTACTTTTTCTTTTCCTTCCCCAAATCCCAAAGACTCCGGATCAACTTTTTTTTTTTTACCCCAAGACCCCACGGGTGAGGAATTCATCTTAAGCCTCCCCCCTCCCTCCCCACCCATCCCCAAGGTTGCAACCCTCCACTTAAGCGAACCCCAAAGTGCCCCCTAACCAGGGCTGAAGTCCAGCAGGTTCTGACAGGTTCTGGCGAACCGGTAGCGGAAATGTTGAGCAGTTCGGAGAACCGGCAAATGCCACCTCTGGCTGGTCCCAGAATGGGAATGGGGATTTTGCAATATCCTTCCCCTGGAGTGGGGTGGGAATGGAGATTTTACAATATCCTTCCCCTGGAGTGGGGTGGGAATGGAGATTTTGCAATATCCCTCCCCCCAGGAGTGGGGTAGGAATGGGGATTTTGCAGTATCCTTCCCCCAGGAGTGGGGATTTTGCAGTAGCCTTCCCCTGGAGTGGGGTGGGAATGGAGATTTTGCAATATCCCTCCCCCCAGGAGTGGGGTGGGAATGGGGATTTTGCAGTATCCTTCCCCTGGAGTGGGGTGGGAATGGAGATTTTGCAATATCCTTCCCCTGCCACGCCCACCAAGCCCCGCCCCGTCCGCAGAACCGGTAGTAAAAAAAAATTGGGATTTCACCACTGCCCTTAACTCCCCCCTTCCTCCAAGCCTCCCCTCTCTCCCCAAAGCGCTGGGCGCACACACGCGTGTAGAATCTTGCGCATCTCAAGCGCTCTCTCTCTCTCTCCCCCCGTCCCAGCAGGTCGTGTGAACCCGAGTCGGGCTTGATTCCCAAAGGGAATCGCTTGATCCAAGTCAAGTGGGTGGGTGGGAGGGAATGGGAAGGGTCCGGATTCCGCGTGGGGAGGGGGGGGATGATGATGATGATGATGGTGGTGGGGAGAGGGGAGGGGGCAGGCGGAGGAGGGAAGCCCCCCCCCACACCCCTCCCCACCGGGAAAAGAGCCGGCAGCCCAAGCCGCCTCCGGCCAAGCCAGCTTCGCCTCCTCTTTGCAAGTCAGCGGGGAGGCGTGGTGTGGCCGGGCGGGGTGGCGCGTCTTCGCTTCCCGGGGAAGTGCGAGTCGGCGGAGCGATCCGGCCGGAGGGGAGGACGAGCAGCTAACAGGAGGAGGAGGAGGAGGAGAAGCCCGGAGGAGCATGGAGGCGGCGCCCGGGGAAAGCGAACAGCTGGCCGGGCAAGGACGATGGAGAGAACCGCTGGCCGCTTAGCTTCTTCCCGGCAGCGGCGGCGGCGGCGCTCACTCTTGCGGCCCCGGTTCGGATGCGGCTCCGGGTGGCCGACTCCGGACCATCGAACCCTTCCAGGATGAGCAGCAGCGCCGGCGGCGGAGGCACCGGCAGCGGCAGCGGCGAAGTGGTTTGCTCCGGCTGGCTCCGCAAATCGCCTCCGGAGAAGAAGTTAAGGCGATACGTAAGTCCCGGGCTCTGGGTTGAAAATGGGGGCGGGGGTGGGGGGGGGGGGGGGGTCGGGGGGGGGGGGGGGGGGGGGGGGGGCAGTTTCCACTAGGGAGGGTCTTTTGCGAGGCACCCCCCTCCCCTCTCTCCTCCCCTCCACTGGCCGGCCGGGACTTTTCAAGGGATGGGGATGGGGATCAGCGACCGGGGGGAGGGAAAGAAGGGAAGGGAGGGTGGGGGGCTTCCCTAGATCCGATCCCCTCCCTCTCTCTCTCCCGGGCTATTTCTTCACCCTGATCCTGGATCCCTGCCGGGGAGGCTGGAAGTCAAGGGCGGCCAGAGGAAGGGAGGGAGCTGGAAGCCCGGCAGCCGCTCCCTTTCGCTCGGAGTCGGAGGGACCCTCGCCCGCTGCGACCCTCCCTCCTTCCTTCCTCCTTCCATCCGGCCCCCGGCAAGGGCTGCGAGGCGAGGCGGGGCTGGGGGGCCAGGAGAGCAGGTGCATCCCCTCCCCTCCCTCCCCTCCCTTGCATCCTGCTGCCCTTCCAGGGGAGGTTTCCCCCCGGCGCCCCCGCGACCACAATCGGGGTTACCGGCCGGGGAGGACCCCCTTTCCTTTGCTCCTCGGCTGCAAAGAGGCGCGGGATCCCGAGAGCAAGCTGAGCGGCCCGGGGGGTTGTTGCTATCCGGGCAGCTGGGTTAGCGGCGCTCCCTCCTCCGGTCCAGCTGGGGAAGGGGCGGCGGAGGAGGCCATCGCCCCCCCCCCACTTTCCCGGGCTCTGTTGCAGCCGGGCAGCAGGGTGGAGCCGCCGGTGGGGCGTCGGGCAGATGACCCCCCGCCGCCGCCGCCGCCGCCGCGTCCTGGGCGGAGCGGGGCTCTCCCCTTCCCGGGGCGGGGGTGAGCCGGGCGGCGGCGGCGGCGGCGGCGGCTGCTACAGGTGGCAGCGGCGGCGTTGTTTGGGTTGGGGTGCTTGGCTTTGCCTGGCGGCAGCACCGCCCCCTACCGGCGACCGTGGGAAACGCGGCCGCTCGAACCCCCCCACCCCCCACCCCCTCCAAGGCCGACTTTCGGGAGACCGGGATCGGGTTCTTAGGATCGCGACCTAGATGGAGTTCCCACGATCGCGACCTGGATCGGGTTCCCACGATTGCGACCTGGATGGGGTTCCTAGGATCGCGACCTGGATCGCTTTCCCACGACCGCGAAATGGATGGGGTTCCCACGATCGCGACCTGGATCGGGTTCCCACGATCTCGACCTGGATCGGGTTCCCACGATCTCGACCTGGATCGGGTTCCCAGGATCGCGACCTGGATCGGGTTCTTAGGATCTCGACCTGGATGAGGTTCCCACGATTGCGACCTGGATCGGGTTCCTACGACTGAGACCTGTATCGGATTCCCAGGATCGTGACCTGGATCGCGTTCCCACGATCGCGACCTAGATGGAGTTCCCAGGATCGCAACCTGGATCGGGTTCTTAGGATCGCGACCTGGATCGGGTTCCCAGGATCGCGACCTGGATCGGGTTCCCAGAATCGCGACTGGATCGGGTTCCCATGATCTCGACCTGGATGGGGTTGCAAGGATCGCGACCTGGATCGCGTTCCCACGACCGCGCGGGTCATCCGGGATCGAGCCGCGCCGTTGCCTTCGCGCTCGGGGCTTGGCTGAGCTGAGTTGCCGCCGCCGTTCCCATTGGGTCGGAGTAGCGTGTAGGGCGGCAAACGGGGCTTGTTAACTGGCTAACCAGGTTCGGCTTGTTGTGCACCTGCGGTGGGGCGAGGCCCTGGGGCGGAAGGCGCGTTGGAGTCGCCGCCTGATTTATGGCACTTTCTCCCTCTGGGTTTTCCAGCCGGCTGCCGGCTGAAGTTATTCTTTAACCGCGGAGTTTGCTTGCCTGCAATGGAAAGGAAGCTGGCTTCGGTTCAGCGGTGGCTGGGCTGCCTTTTGCAGGTTCCCGTACAGATGGCAACAGGCTTAGACTTACATACCGCTTCACAGCCCTCTTTTGCCCCCAACAATCTGGGTCCTCATTTTACACACCTCGGAAGGACAGAAGGCTGAGTCAACCTTGAGCCAGTCAGGATTGAACTCCTGGCAGGGAGCAGTGAATTACTGCATCCTAACTACTGTGCCATCTTCCTTCCTTCCTTCCTTTTATCCTTCCATCTTCCTTCTTTCCTCTCTTCCCCTTCCTTCCTTCCTTCCTTCTTTCTTTCCTTCCTCGCTTCCCCTTCCTTCCTTCCTTTTATCCTTCCATCTTCCTTCTTTCCTCTCTTCCCCTTCCTTCCTTCCTTCCTTCCTTCTTTCTTTCCTTCCTCTCTTCCCCTTCCTTCCTTCCTTCCTTTTATCCTTCCATCTTCCTTCTTTCCTCTCTTCCCCTTCCTTCCTTCCTTCCTTCTTTCTTTCCTTCCTCTCTTCCCCTTCCTTCCTTCCTTCCTTCCCCCCCCAATAGTACTTAGACTTATATACCGCTTCACAATGCTTTCCAGCCTTCTCTAAGCAGTTTACAGAGTCAGCCTCTTGCCCCCAACAATCTGGGTCCTCATTTTACACACCTCAGAAGGACAGAAGGCTGAGTCAACCTTGAGCCAATCAGGATCGAACTCCTGGCAGGGAGCAGTAAATTACTGCATCCTAATAACCACTGTGGCATCTTCCTTCCTTCCTTCCTTTTATCCTTCCACCTTTCTTCTTTCCTCTCTTCTCCCTCCTTCCTCCCTCCCTCCCTCCCTCCTCCCTCCCTCCCTTCCTTCCCAATAGCACTTAGACTTATATACCACTTCACAATGCTTTCCAGCCCTCTCTAAGCAGTTTACAGAGTCAGCCTCTTGCCCCCCAACAATCTGGGTCCTCATTTTACACACCTCGGAAGGACAGAAGGCTGAGTGTTGACCGGAAGACTTCCAAGGTCCCTTTTGACTCGGTTATTCTGTTATTCTTCCTGGAAGGGTTTTGCCCCTCTGGATAGGCGGCTGCGATCGGAACCCCTTTTCCTTCCATCCTGTTCCCACCTCTCTTGCTGTAACTCATAAAACGACATCCATAAAATTTGGTATGAATTTGCCGTTGGCTCAAAAAGGAGTGATAAAAAAATGATGTCTCTTTGGAGTTGAGCCCAGAAACAAAACCTTGTGGTTTTCTTGACGAGAGCAATGCTTTCTTATGACGGGGAATTGTTTTTTCAAGTTTCCAGTCTAGTCTATGACTCTGGCATTTCCTGGTGGTCTCCTCTCCTTTCTCTTGAGGGACGCACCTTCTCTTTCGGTGTGGCATCAACTGGACCATCCTCTCAATTCAATTCCTCCCAATTGTTGTTTTTTTTTTCCAGAGAATACATGGGAATGGGTCTTTGGCCAGGAATACAGGTAGTCCTCGACTTACAACCATTCATTTAGTGACCATTTGAAGTTACAACGGCACTAAAGTGATTTATGACCATTTTCACACCATTATAACCGTTGTAGAAGCCCAATCGTCATGTGATCAAAATTCAGACACTTAACAATTGACTCATATTTTTGGATAAAGATTTGGTGGGTGATGCAGAACATTTTTAAAAAAAGACTGAAATTTACTCCACAGTTGTTTTTACTGGGTATAACTACGGACTGTACAGTTGCAGAGACTAAACTGATTTTGAACTTGATAACAGCAGCAAGATTGCTGATAGCACAACATTGGAAGAAGGATTTTTTGCCTACTATTGATGACTGGATATTGAAAATAACTAATTTAGCTGAAATGGCTAAAATTTCAGCATATTTGAAGGACCATACACAAGAAAGGTATATACAGGGCTGGAGAAGATGGATTGATTATATTCAAAATAAGTATCGGACCAAAAAATTTCAAATAGCTTATGAATGATTTCTTTTAACTGTATAAGCGTTATATAAGTGATATTAGAAGTTTGATGTCCAAGAAGTAGGATTTTATCTATGGTGGGTTAAGAATTTGTTTTAGGGGGTGTTAGTTTAATGATTGGTTAAGCAATTTAGTTTATTGTTTAAAGTTAATAGAAATACCGTGTGTTCCGCTCTGGGAAGTCGGGGAGGGGGAGGGGGGGTTGGGTGGGAGGGCTGTGGGGAAATTGTGTTTGTTCTAAAACTTTTTCAATTAAAAAAAAACCGACTCATATTTATGACGGTTGCAGTTCTGGGAGTTAACAGAATGACAGAATTGGACGGGACCTTGGAGGTCTTCTAGTCCAACCCCCTGCTCAAGCGAGAGACCCTATATCATTCTAGACAAGTGGTTGTCCAATCTTTTCTTAAAAACCTCCACTTTTGGGAGCATCCACAACTTCTGGTGGCAAGTAGTTCCACTGGTTAATTGTTCTCACTGTCAGGAAATTTCTCCTTAGTTCTAGGTTGCTTCTCTCCTTGATTAGTTCCCATCCATTTTTGTCTTGTCTTCTAGTGCTTTGGAGAATAGCTTGACTCCCTCTTCTTTGGGGCAGCCCCTGAGATACTGGAAGACTGCTATCATGTTTCCCCTAGTCCTTCTCTTCATTAAACTAGACATACCCAGTTCCTGCAACTGTTCTTCGTATCTTTTAGCCTCCAGTCCCCTAATCCTCTTCGTTGCTCTTCTCTGCACTCTTTCCAGAGTCTCCACATCTTTTTTTTTTATAATATGGTGACCAAAACTGGATGCAGGATTCCAAGTGTGGCCTTACTAAGGGCTTTATAAAGGGGTACTAATACGTCACGTGATCTTGATTCTATCCCTCTGTTGAAATCCACCGGCCTTAAAGATGCCGAGATTGAGGGGGAGAGGGGGAAATGCCCTAATGTCAGAGATAATAAATTCAGAACCAATCTTATTTATCTTATTTATTGGTTCGATTTATATGCCGCCCTTCTCCGGAGACTCAGGGCGGCTTACAATGCTTTTAAGCAATAGCCTTCATACTTTTGTATATACCTGCTTAGTAGGGCTTTCGGGGCCCCCCTAAGCGGTGTTCTTTTTTTATACAAAGTCAGCTTATTGCCCCCACAATCCGGGTCCTCA